TAAACCTTTAAACTGTTTTTCAGCTTGAGTACCAGCAGACACAAATGTTATTTTTTTTACTTTATATTAAATTATCATATAATAATCACAAAAATTATAATAAAATATTGTTTTACTCATATGCATTATAAACAACACGTGTTAAAATTATTCCTAAAGCTTATACTTCACCAGTTACACGTAGGACCACAAAGGGATAGAATTAGATTATGTCAATTTTACCCCAAACTCAAGCTAGTCGCTGGTTACGTGAGAGCTTGGTTTTCTGGAAATGTTTACATGACCACGGTTTGCAGAACGGCTGGGATCAGTTGACAATGCGATGGCTGGTGTAAAGTTTAACAACACCCACGTGTTGTAACACCTTCGATTTCTGTTACAAAAGATAAATACAGCTCCTGAGATGAAAATATTTTTAAACAACGGAAATTAACTCAGCGTAAGGGGGACAAATAATCAACAAATGGCGTACAAAAATGTCGAATCAGAAGTTTCTACATCATCGATATTGACCTTAGCACAAGCAGCTTATATGTCGTCGTTAAATAAACTAGATTAATATTCTGAAAGCACCGCTTTAGATCTCATTCAAGGACAGATTAATCTGGCTGGAGTTTTGGTGTCACTTGTCATTCCCTGGCGAATGATTGGAAATAACATCTCCTTCTAAACCCTTGTTTATTCACCCAGACAGGCCACATTTTAATCCCATACAACGTCACATTAACTTAAGCAGTTGCTACAATATAATCACTCTATCAACTTCAACCACAATGTCATAGGAACCAGTTACCAGAAAATAATTCGAAACATTTGCATCCTCTGGTGTAGATTCGCCGAAATGCTTTACCTCCGTTATTTCCAGCTCGGAAAATGGCTCTCCTGGGGTGACGTCAGACATGACGCCCCTCATTTTGGAAGACAGGGGAGTCGCAGGCTCTGTTCTTGGCGCTAGGGGGCGTACATCTTCGAAAGCCCCCGAACTAAACACGACGTAGCTTCTTTCCGAGTTCCACCATTCTGAGAGAAGCAGAGTTGTAAATCAATGCTTACTCTACCGCGGGTCACAATACGTCGCCCGGAGGTTTCATGCGGAATTCATGCGTCCTCTGGCGCTCGTAAATAAATACGAAGGTAATTGAGTCTTGATGACGTTTATGACTTCCTGCCACAAGAGGTCTCCACGTTCGTATAGGCTCACAGTCTCCAAAAGCCTTTAAGTGCGCCTCAGTCTCTTAGTATCACGGTAGAGTGCTCCACTATCGTACTGAATGAGAACACATTTTTAAATTGCCAGGACTCTACATCCATCACGAAAATGTTTTACGTAAATATTACAGGCAAGTTAGACAAAATGCTCATTTGTGAAGTCTGAGCGTAAGATATGAATATCGCATCGTTTTTTAATATGAGAGTGGATTTAAATAGCTCAGGATTTCGTATCCATTGGTGTTGATTCGAAATCTGTCGTTGAACTTTTGGGTTCTGCTGACACGGGTGACAGACACATCTTGCTACAGTTGAAGGTGCATGTATATCTTCTATGCCGTAGCACCGTGTAGTCTCGTAGAAGATTACAGAAGTTTCAGGGACTTATTTATCACCCTGATGGTGGAGGCAGCAAAGATCTCTGAAACATTGCTAAACTTCTACCAGACTACACGGCCATCTTGAGATTCACCGCTGTGGGAACCTCAAATGTTTCAAAGGTTTACATTACCGTGAGTCTTTTTTATGATTTGATTTATACAGTAGGCCATTTGGTGTCATTCAGTGAACTTTTAGGTTAGAAAAAGCTGAAAGGTCAGTTGGAACATCAAATAGAGAACAAAATTGCTTTAAGGGCTTTCCGTTTGTTAAACCCGCCTACATCTCATCAACTTGTGAGAAACGTTGGTTCTGTGAAGAAATTCTGCTGACACACATTTTTTTTTCCCCAAATGGCGTGTATCTTTCGAGCACTATCTTATTCAGCCCCACTTATTATCCAGTTTTTCTTACATGTGAGTCTGCATTCATCCATATCTATACGACGTTACTCTTATTGTTAATAAATTTACATGACCAACCAAAAGACATAATTGATATCCCCTTGCTCTAGAAATTCTTAGTCATTAAAAACAGTCGCCATTGAACGGAGATAGTATCTTTTTAACCTGTTGTTGTAAGATTCTTCTTGATATTTATTGAACACCCCAAGCGATAGATCGTGATGTTTATCAAATGCTAATATATTGTTGAATGTATCTTGATCCCATAAACTACATATTATAGAAAATAGCATCAGCCCTGATGATGAAAGCAGCAAATACCTTTGAAACGTTGGTAAATTACTACCAGACTAACATACCAGCCTTACAGCCGCAGCGAGAACCTCAAATCCTAACAAATAAATAAATGCGCGCTGAAGTTTGGAAATAATGTCAAGTTTTTTGGGGAGAAGCAGGCATAGATGTCAGTATAATACAAAAATTGGTATAAAAAACTTGGTTTTGAGGGTGTCAGGTAAATAAAACGATAACACTGCATCTCTGTTGTTTCTAGAATGTTCGAAACGTGCCTTGATGAAACATCCGCTTCTGCCATCTATACTTCAGACTTCGGTAGCTCTATTCTCTAGTACCAGCTTCGGTGTCTCGATCTCGAATGTGGCGCTCTGTTTAGAACTTTCGTGCCTACGTAGATGAGTGTTGGCGTCATTTGAGTGCGTGACTGGTCCCTCCCAGCTAATTTCCTCTTCCTGGATCATTCGTTCACTAGTTCAAGGTTACGCTAGAAGCTGTCCGTTCTATTGGCCTTCTGAAGTTTTTCCACATTGTTTTCAGCTTTCATGCTTGAAACAGAGGTCCAACATTCCGAAACAGTAATGTCGACTGACCATTATAGCCAATTCCTATTCACAGACACGGCAGAACAACTGAGACGAGGCGTAATTCGTATCTGCGATCTCAGTTCGAAAGCCACCAAAAATTATGTTCTTTACACATCTAACGTAAAGCGAATTTTCCGGAGTTAACGTCTTTACGATTAGTGCCATTGACATCTGATTTACTTGTTTGTCAGGGAATACCGTAATACACATAATATCCTCATTCGTTCTTTTCAACATGCATTTGAGAATATTACATCCGCCTTGTCCCACGAATTAAATTTACAAATTTTTAAATTTTAATAATTTCCAAATCTTATAAAAAAATTTAAAATTTTCAGTTACGAAGGTAACAATGGCAACAGATCTCAGTCACTTATCGCGCTCGTGTAAAGTACCCTTATTGTTGTCAGATCTTAACCAAACTCGGCATGTGTCGAAAAATTTTAATAACACTGTTCATTATCATAGATTGTTAAAATAGTTGTTAGATGCGTACGGAGCGACAAATGAATGGAAGAATTTTAATAGTTACTCTGCATGTTTTCGAACTCGCCTTAATTGACATAAAGGACGATGAAGATCAAGGACTCGCCTGCCTAAGGCTACCTAGTGCATTTCCACGGGTTACGTCATAATCATCTGTTAAAAAACTAGCGACCTTGGTCTATTGCATGTGACCAAATGGTCACGCGATGAAACAGGTCGAATCCATTAAAATGACATACGTTCTTGATTCTTAGGTGACTCACACGCGTACAGCGTGTTCTAAATTGCTGTCGAAACATTTTTCGCAGAAATTGGACAAGCATCAGGAACGGGTGTTGCAAGATTGTATTGTTATATCACTTTGTTGTCGTTGCGTGTTCATATGTTACCGTATTATTCATTAACTATTAATCACAGTAATTAAAATAGGCTCACATCATACTATTTCGCTTTCTCGTGCTATACAATAATTCTGAATTTCAACAACTAAGTATATTCAGTAATGTAAGGAGTAAAGATTCTTTAGTAAATTATTGTTTTTAATTGTGTTCATTACAATATTTTAAAATCGGATTGTTTGTAGTAAATGTTTATTTCATTCTTTATCCACTTCGTTTGTCGTGAAAAAAAAGGTTTCTCAATCAAATAAACTTGTTTTCTACACGTCTTGGGAAATAGGAATTGTTATAGACATGCGATACTAGACCTTCGTTTTATATTTGCGTACGTCATCACAAAGAATAATACGATATACATTACGCACTTTTCCACGATCTACCACTCTGAGTTACAACGTTAACCAGTCCAGGATCGGCAGTTTAAAGAATAGATTCGTCCATTAATAAAGTTTCTGCAGCTGAGTTAAAGTGAGTAGGCCTATTTGTCGTGGGTATTAAATCACATAAGCAGTTCTTACAGAAAATTATTTAAATGACTCGTTCACTTTTATTTATACATTTTTACAAGAATTCCTAGATATTGTTTTCATAATTATTAAATAGTATATACCAAAACTTTTGTTAACTAAATTACCGGGGGTTTGAAAATCACTTACTGAACCAAAAAGAAACAATTAAAATTAAAGGATTAGGTGTAAAAGAACATAAAATTAAGCAGGAAAGTTTCTTTCACTTTAGACAAAACAAAACACAAAGAATATTAAAATAAAATATTGTCCATAGCTTATCTCGTATTAATGAGAGAAATAATTTTAAATTTATGAACGTAATAACACATTCTAATTTATGCTAACGTTTGTTATAATATCCAATGTCTACTATAGATGCAAGTGATACGAGAACTTTAAGCTACTTGGTACTTGTTGTAAACTTCACTGATACGTTTTAAATTCAATTTTCATAATCGGAGCTTTGACGGAAAAGTTCCTGTGTACATTAGGTTTTAAGATGAAATGCCTCAAAATTACGATTTTACAAAAATAAACTATGAATACTTATATTTTGTACTTCAAATTTAATTTTGTTTAATAATCGCAGATAAGTCTACTTAAATCTATCAACCAACTTATATCAAAGAAAATTTATAATTAAAGTATCTGTGACAAGTGATTGCGTCTGATATTAGGTTAGCATTAAAAGTTTTACAAGAATTGGAAATAATAATTGTGAGACATTTATTTCAGAGTCCACATTTACAGAGTCAACAACGACACCTGCTTATAAAAATGAACGCAGCTACAGATTACTTGATGTTATCACTGATTGCAGCATCTCTCGGGGCATTTCTGGCCCTGTATGCGTACTTCAAATATTCATATTCTTACTGGAAAAATAAAGGTGTAATGTATCTTGAACCTTCATTTCCATTTGGAAATATTGGAGATGCCATAATGCAAAAGAAAACCGGTGGATTAGTATTTCAAGATATTTATAATAAACTTGAAGGTCAACAGTATGGCGGTACATTTGCCTTCAGGAGACCAATGTTTGTAATTAGAGAGCCAGAAATTATTAAGACTGTCTTAGTTAAAGATTTTGTGCACTTTCATGACCGTGGTACGTACTTTGATGAAAAGGGTGATCCATTGTCTGCCCACTTATTTATGCTCACAGGGTTAAAATGGAAGAATCTACGAGCAAAACTAACACCGACTTTCACCTCTGGTAAGATGAGGATGATGTTTCAAATTCTTGTTGACTGTGGCGATGAGCTAAGGGCTCACGTAGATCATTTCGCTGCTAATGGCGAAATGTTGGAAGTCAAAGATATCTTGGCGAAATTCAGTACTGACATCATAGCATCATTTGCTTTTGGTGTGCAGTGCAATTGCCTCAATAATCCAGATGCTGAATTTAGAAAATGGGGTAGAAGAATTTTCGATTCTTCAGTAAAGACTGGAATTAGAGATATTGTGATGTTTGTGGAGCCAACAGTGGCTTCCATTTTAAAAATACCCTTTGTTCCTCAAGACGTTACCCACTACTTTAAAAAAATGGTTAAAGAAACAGTTGAATATCGAGAGAATAACAATGTGACGAGAAATGATTTTATGCAGCTTTTGATCCAATTAAAGAACAAAGGAAGTATTGATACGGAGAAACAAATGAATGGCACCACAAAACCAGACAAAGGCAAAGATATTGGCCTGTCAATGAACGAAGTTGCTGCACAGGCTTTTGTATTTTTTGTTGCTGGATTTGAAACGTCGTCTACCACCATGAGTTTCTGCTTGTATGAGCTTGCACTGAATCCACATATTCAAGAACGAGTTCAGAAAGAAATAGACGCAGTCTTAAAGAAATACGAAAATAAAATCACTTATGAAGCCATTCAGGAAATGGAATACTTGGACAATACAATCTCCGGTAAGTTTTAGAACGTAAATATTAATTGTAAATGTGGTGTAGGAACCGAATATGAATACGTTTTGTGTCGGCAGTAAAAATTATTTTCAAAACAAAATATCTTTGTATAAATGTTGATTCATATTTTGTAAACTAATTAGCGCTACACCAAAATTCATAAACTCAATAACAAATGCATTTTACACGAAATTCTGAACTGAAAAATTGTAATTTAAAGAGCCCAAAATTTATAATAGCAGTTCTGAACTCGTGGCTCGCTTATACTGTGTAAATAAATAATAAAACACAAAAACAAAATTACGTAACATGTGAATGTTTACCAACTTTCAATAAACTATATCTGATTGTGATCCGTTGGTAATATGACGCTGAACGTGACCGTAGGTTTTAAAAGTTTGAGAACCCCTGGTCTGTTAAACCGAATTTAAAAATAATACAAGACCCTGATTAACAGGACTTTTCGGAAGGGGGTCTTTAGACGTCTGAGTTGTGATTACTCGTTGAATAAGGCGGAAAATGTGCACACTTATTTAAATACACCTAATATTTATATATATTCTTTGCTGATTGTCATGGCAAATATAAATCCGTTATTTCAAAGTACAATCAGTCAGCCATTTATTCTCGAAATTTAACTTTTTACTTTTACATCGTTAAAAATTCGACATGTCCAAAATATTTCAAATAAAACAACTACATATTTATCAGATATATAGGTCATACTATACAATATATAATAATTATATTTTTCAGAAAATTATAACGTATTTGGATATCTCTGACAGCAAAATTATATTTAGTAACATTTGAGGTTCTCAAGATGGTGGTTGTGAATATGGCTGTCTTCTGGGCTTTAGCTCCGTGTAGTGTAGTAGACTAAATTTTATTTCCTTCACATCATAAAATAAACGACGGATGATATAACGCAACTTATGTCAAAACTGTGAACACGAAACTCAAAGTTTTCTCACTTCCCTCCCTCCTTCCCTCTCAGTAGCTTCTCTGACGTAAAATTCACCTTGTCTACAGAAACTCTAAGAATGTACCCGCCAGTGCCATTTCTCACACGAGAATGCACGAAGAAATACACAGTTCCAGGATCAAATGTTACTCTGGAAGAAGGGACGTCAGTTCTCATTTCTGTCATGGGAATCCACAAGGATCCGAAATATTATCCCGATCCTGAAAAATTTAATCCTGATCGCTTCATTGAAGAAGTTAAGAAGAAGAGACATCATTTCACGTACTTGCCTTTTGGAGAAGGACCAAGAATTTGTATCGGTAAGTGATGTTTGTTGTAATAGTAAAATTTTATAAAGAGCACGAGATAAATATTTTGTTTGAAAGGCATAATAATCCAAGGACCATACATTCTCCTTTATTTTCAGAATATTGCGTAGTCAAATTCTGATTATACACATACATATATTTCTGGCACATGAAGTTAATTTATAATAAATTGTTTTTCTTTCTTCTTTATTTTATAATATTATTTATTTTGCTTTCGTTTATTTGTTTATATTGCATTATTTCTTGTATCTTTACTTATTTGCTTTATTGCCATATAATTATCCCCAATTAACGATATAGGATTTTACACTTAATTTAAACTAATATATATTTGTTAGGATTCATTTAATAGGTTATTGATCCATTTCAGGGTACCTATATATGCCCACACAGGTTAATATCAGTGCCTTACGAGAGCTTCTAAACAACAACGCTGAGTTGCTAATACACATTAATCAACTGATTTTATAATTAAAACCCCCAAATATGTTACTACAAAACGTGAAATACAAGCAAATAAATTACTGACCTACAAAACTGTAGATTTGGGTGATAAAATTGTTAGTACATCGAAGATGTCCTTGAGTTATAATTTATAAACGTCACTAAATACATAACTGGGCAATTGTAGTATGGAAACCTCTGAGGGAGAAGTCCACTTGAAAGATTTAGAAGCACATGTAAGGGTCATATTAAAATTTACGTGAATTAAACTTGATTTGAGTGTGTACTGGGTTCATCTGCCTCGGGATAGATCCTAGCGGACGGTTGTTGTTAAAATAATGATGCTCTTACATTGCCTCAATGGCTGACCTAGAACCAGGTTTTCATTAAATTTGCTCCGTCGAGTGAAACGGTTCTCCGACCCGCGTGTTGTTTCAGTAACAGTCAGCGATAATTGTGACATTTTATAGTTGTAAGTTAATATTTACATAATCATTTCTGTTATACTGTTTTCATAGTTCTATTCACACGCCTATAACGAGATTGGTGTAAAGTAAATTAATATATTCATAATGTGGGCCCACTTAGGAAAAGAAAAACGGGGTATAACAATTGCCAACTTTGTA